TAACAGAATAGTTGAACGATTCTTCTATAGTACGATCATTCATTTTCACAATGCGATTTTCACGAGAGGCAAACGATATCTTTTCTGTTAAGGAGGTAACAAATCTCATCTTGAATGCCTATTGTATCCACATGATTCGTGAACATATCCGAGCAACATCATTATGATCATCCGGTTGAAGACGATATTTGATGTAGTAAAGATATGTTACTCCTCATGTCAACCAACACACACTGTTTCATTGTTCAAACGTTATAGATGTTGGGATTCCTGGGATCTCTATAGCGAATCTAATTCCTAAGAGATCGGTTCTAGGGTTTGCGCAGCGGATGTAAAACAAAATTTTATAAAACCCTAAAACCTATCATGCATGATCTTGTAGAAATGTTACAACGCTTACCTCAATCGATCTGGGGCCTGTATCAATTGATGTATTCGTCCGATCACTGTAGGCAGGAAGAATACCTCACCCTCTACACGTATCCACACGACGGAAAGGATTCCAACAGTTGGAACTCGTCTGCTAGGACTGAAGAACGCTTTCTTCTTTGTGCAAGTGTTTCAGGGATTAATCTCTTAGGTTTTTCTCTCTCAAAACCTCTAAAAAAGGTCTGAAAGTCGAGCTACTCAGGTTAGGAGGCATCCCCTTGAGTTCATCCCACTTAAAACCCTAATTAGAGTGAGTTTAGGAAATCCCGATGTCTGGACCGTGTTGGGTAATCTACGGATTCCTAGCATGTGATCATATCGATCTAGGGTTTGGTTTACTAGGTTTCATGCAGCGGAAGAAAGATCTAAACCTAGTCAAACGTCACACGCAACCAAACTTGAAAAACCCGAAAGATCGTGTATATCACCGAGGGAATCGTTACTTACCTCGTTCTCGATAAAACTTGAAGCAAAAATCGATTCGGGGCCTGTTCTTAATCATCTAGGATTGAAGTTACAGTCCCTCTACACGTATCCACACCGACGGAAAGGATTCCAAACGATTTGAAATGTATCTGCTCGGATTAGTGAAGAAAAGGATAACTCGAGAGACCGAATCTAATCCTGAGAAGCTCAAAAACGAAAAGAATGAATTCTCTAGGGTTCTTAGATGTCTCTCTGAGTTTTAGGGCGGCCTTAATTAAGTTTGGACGAAATCCCAAACTTAAATAAGCTTAGAAAACCCTAAATCCGAAATTTTGGAAAAATCCAGATCCCGATCCGCCGGTCCAAGAGCTTGGTCCGGTGGACCAAGCTTAGTCCGAGGCTCTCGGACCTCCTAACCTGGAGGTTTGGTCCGGCTGACCAACTTTTGGTCAGCTCCGGACCAAACCTCTTGGTTCC